TTTGGTGCTCTGTGCAGCTGTCTGTGATCAGTGCCCAACACTGTTACCAGTGGCTAGAGCTCTGTGTTGTTATCAGTAACCAATGCCCGGAGCCGTCGTCAGTGAGTTGTACTCAATATTGATGTGTGTCATGTGAGCAAAATTGTCGTACCACTACCAAGTAGGCGGTGAACAATCAGCTTGTGGTCAGTGTTCAGTCACAATTACGCCTCTATTCAGCCAGTTTCAATCAAAGATAAACCAGGTACATAAGTCAGTTTTCCATCAGTACTTTGTTGGAAGCCCTATGCCAGATACTATTCAGCAGGCAACAGTTGTATTCAGTCATTAAGTAACCACCGCATGGTAACTATTACTCCAGGGAATCCCGAGGATATTTACTCATTGTTTTATCAGCAATCAGACCAGCAATCAGACTAGCAACCAAGCGGACAATCAAACAACAATCATTCTACATTCAGATCAGCATCCTAACCAGCGTTTAGAGAAGGCATTCAGGTCAGCAATCAGACCAGCAAATAATCAGAAAAGCAGTTAGATCATCGGTCAACTATCAATCATCAGTTCTCAGCAATCAGATTTGAGGTCAGCTCATTTATTCAGACCATCAGTAGTCATTCCAGCAACTAGTTCAGCCTTTCCTCATGCAATTTGGCAATCAATTCAACAATCTAGCAGTCAGTTCAACAATCAATTCAGGAGTCGGATCAGCAGCAATCAACAGACAACAGACGACATTTTTCCATGAGTATAGTTGAATCCTATCGAGTCAGCGAGTCAGTGCTGGCTAACCTCAATCAGATTTCATGCAAAGAGGCATTCCGTTATCAGTATGCTAGAGCCATTGGTTTCAGACAAGGAGATCTGTCCATCTTCGTTGTCCAGACCAGTTTTGCTGATGGCACTAGAGCGGCATCAAACTGATCCGCAGTTTTGGGCCCAAGCTCTATACCGACTATCCCAAGCCTCCTGTTACTTCCCTTCTCACTGATAGCACGAGTTGGCTCGACATGATTGGCTTGGCAGAGGTACATTTCTCCAGCAGTGATCGACATTGAGGCGCTGACTGAACCCACCGAGTACCCCTACCTCAGACGAGGGGTCTTTTCAGTGGACAGACTGCCTACATTGTGGGAGGAGTTTTGCTCCATGGTTAACTTTCGTGTCATGTATCTCGGATGGTCGTGTTCAGAGCTTGCTGATGTGAGGTGGCTCTATGTCACGAGGCCTCAATCTCGGACTGAACGCAGTCATGGGTCACAACACTCGAGATGAGCAACATAATGAGAGATTGGAAGTGGCCTTTTGGAGGGATGAGTGAGGACTCTTGAGAGGTGCTGGCCATGCTTGTTCACATGTACTCCCTGAGATTACTACGAGTTCTCATTCTTCCCTCATTCATTTGTCTTGTCATATGCACAAGTCAAGTCGGTCTTGTTTTATGCATTGTTCTTGCTTGATGATTGCCCTCTGTGGATGGTCTGTCACAATTCTCAAAATCAGATTGACATAATTGATGCATGCATAGCACCCCATGATTTTATGGTTATTATTTGCATAATTCTCTGTTGTTCTGAATCAAAATAAAAGATTCCTCAGACCGGGGACCGGCGAAGACCGCAATTGAAGGGTCTCGCTCAAAGCCGGACGCATACAACAGGAAGGGATTTGCATTATTTAATTTATTTTATTTATTGTGACTACACACAAAATTCTTGCGTGACAGCCTGTTGGCTTTCCGGTCGCTTGAAGCGGTCTGACTGGAAAAAGGTGCGACACCGTACGCCCGCCTCTTTGGGGAAGAGCAAGTCACTAATCGGAGAGGGTACGAGCCTCGGACGAGGTGATGATAAGGAGGATTCCGGGAACCCTTTGGGCCTCGGTGGAGCCTATAGAAGAGGCAGGAGAGGTTTTCCACATCATGCTACCGAAAGCAAGTTTGGAAGCCCCGACGCGAACCATTCGGAGGGAAGTGTTCGAAATCCGCCGGGGGAAGGCGTTCGTTCGATTGACGATGAGTAGCAAGAAAGGCTTAGTGATCGGAGAAGCTCGAATCTTCCTTTCAAAGATGGGGTTCCTGGAGGCGGTTCAAAGTCTGAAATTGGGAGAAGACCCCCTCCGAGACGCACATGCTGTGAGGAGTGACCTAGAGAGGATAGTCGATGAGGTGAGGCCTCGAGAAGGGTACCATAGGGTATATCAAATAACGTACGCGGGCGAGGAGGAGGTGCCGCTATTTGCCACCAGCGAACCGGTGGGAGTACCCCGGTTCATCCTCGAGAGGGTTTACCCCGCCGAGGCGGTCATGAGGGTGGTAGAGCATAGAGTCTCGATCTTGAATCAATTTTGGTTCACAGAGTCGGACTTACACGCCTTGTTGTCGTGGTGCCTCAGGAACCCGCATTAGGACGATTGGTCGTCACTGGAGGACTTGGGCTACGCTTTCGAAGGTTGGGGTCAACACTTGAGGGTATCGACCATTTCGTGGAGATACTTGGGTAGGATCTGCGAGGCGGGATTGGAAGGGCCCTCGGACCTTATTCGGGTCGTTATTGCGTACCGAAGGAACTTGAGGCATGAGCGAGACGAAGGGAAGCTAGCGGGTCTGGAAAGGGTGAGGGTTGAGTTGTACCGAATCCTGACTCTTTGCTAGGAAGAGAAGAACAGAGCCATCCTTACGTCGAATTAAGCTCCTTGAGACAACAACGATTAAGATCTTCGACGAATTAAAGGAAGAGCTGCTCTCGGGGGAAAGATGGGCATGAGAGCGAGCTTCACCTCTAATTCGGTAACTTGGGAGCTAGCGACTCGTGACGACGGCCCCGAGGTCGAAATAGAGGGAGGTGCGGAACTAGCCTCGGGTCTTAGAGAGAGTCAGGCAACTCGAGCCAAGGAGGAGTTCCTTGTTGAAGTTCGACGACTGGCCTTGTGGAAAAGGAGGTCCTGGACCATATTAGCAAGGTTCTCGATTTTTGTCAGTGAGGCAAGAGGCGTACGGTTCTTGAGGACGTGGAGAGAGCCCTTGCTAGAGGTCGAGAGGAAATTCGAGGAGGACGCTAGGTGGCTAGGAACTTCATTCGAAGCTAGGCTGCACCTGGTTGAGGCCCGATTCTGGAATAGGACGGGGGAGTACGAAAAAGCCTTGCAACAAACAATACATGACCAAGGCGAGGACGCTCGAGGGAGGTGTGAGGACTCGTTAGCAGAAGCAGCTGAGAGATTAACACGGGTAAGTTAGAGTTGTCAATGATTAGGTACGACAGGGGGAACCCTGTTGGAACCTTGGAGCGGGCCTGGAAGTCGGGGGGTAGGTATGGCGTGACCCTCCCCAAGAATAGAGAGGAATGAGAGAATGTTGTGGAGTTTTTCGAGATCTACAGGTGAGAGATAATTGTTCGTTTTTAGGTAGTTTCCGAAAAAGGTACTCGCACGCAAAAGGCCGAGATCTTCCTATCTCACTACAATAGACAGGTTTTTGCGACCGAATTAGCGGAAGGAAAGGACCCCCAGGATATCACCAGAAGAGCCCTAGATCGGCTTAGGAGGTTGGAGAAATCCCTGCTTGGGCCTACCGGTTGCTCTACCCCGACGACGCAGCAGTAAGGAGGGTTCTAAATAGGGGACATGTAATTGAAAAATTCCCCTAGGAGAGAAGAAGGGTCACGAGTTGTTCACCCGGTGTTGGGAATCGCAGGAGTATACGGACTTCGAGTGGTGGGCATTAGTCGGAGAATTTATCAAGCCTTTGTTTCGGGGACAGGCCGGAGAGGTGGATAGAGAGCTGATTAGACGGTGTTCTCAGAAAGGCATTAGGAGCATTCCCGATCTAGAGATTACCAATCTTGCGCTAGCGGCCTGCGAATAGGAGCGGGTTCGAGGCTCTTGGTGGACCGTAACTAGCCAGGAATCTGCAGGTGGCAGTAAGGATCAAGAATCAAGTGAGGAAGAAGAAATCTCGGGGGGGGGGGGCACGAAGCGGAAGAACGGGACAGTGACACTAGCGAAGAGAGCGACCAAAAGTTAGCAATAGGGTGTATGGAGAGTGAAGTGGAGCCTGGACTCGCCCAACCACCTAAGACCACTGGCAGGAGGCCAACCGAGAAAGATACCGAATTGGGGGCGAGATTAAGCAAGGTAACCGAGGGAGTGACCGAGGGGATGAAAGCAATGGGTACTGAGAGGAGCCCGGAGACATCTCTTAGAGAGAGAAAATCCTCTACAGGACAACGGGCAAGTATTGAGGTACGTTTGCACAGGGAGGTGGAGCCGCGGGCACCGATGAGAGAAAACATGGCGGAAGCCTCGAAGGGGTTCTCTGTCGAAACCCGATGGCTAGATCAAGTAGATATGGAGGAGAGGGCCGAAGACGGCCAAGAATTCCTGTGTGATAGACAAAGGGCAAGTACCGAGGAACGTTTGCATAGGGAAGTGGAGCCGCGGATACCAATGAGAGAAAGGACGGCGGAGGCCTCGAAGGGCTTCCCTGTCGAAACCCGATGGGCGGATCAAGTAGACACGGAGGAAAGAGTCGGAGAGGGTCAAGAATTCTTGCGTGATAAGCTGGGATGCTGGGTGCCTAGGAGGGGTGAAGAAGGGAGCCTACGGAGAAGAGAATTGGCAGAAGAGCGACCGAGAGAGACTGGCGGAGGACCGCGAAGGTGGACCGGGCGAGAAACCGACCCTGCATGGATGACGGAGGAGGTGATAGGGAGAAATGTGGGAGGATTTGGAGATGCCGGAAGAGGGTTTAGGGGCCAAGGGCCTACATGTTGGGAACGCGATGACCCGTATGATAGAAGCCGCCGCGAGGAGGATGTTTGGGGGCCTCCGAGGGCGACATCACGGACGGAGGATCTGGACCTCGCCTGGTACAAACCCTACGACCCAACAATAGACGGACCTGCGGAAGGTCCCTACTTCCGTCGGTATGACGACTGACGGGTCCCCTACTACGATGTGAACCTAGGACTCGAGTCGCTCTACTTTAATGGGAGGGACGTGACCAGATTCATGGAGAGATGGGAGAGTTACTCTTTTCGGAAGAAATTTTTGGAGAAAGAGTGAATCGACCATTTTATACAACACTCGGACCCAGAATTGGACCAAGCGATTAGAGCAATATACCCGGTGGATGGAAGGTGGAAAACCTTTAAGAGTAGCATGTTGCGGGTCTTTGCCTGCGATGATTTGATCCCGACGATAGAAGGGCTACGACAGGTATCGAGAGGGGAGCAAGAGAGCCTCGTGATGTTCACCAGGAGATTCAAACGCCTATCCCAACCCTTAGTGGATAGGGGGATGTTGTCAGAGGTGGACCGGTGCGTTATGTTTATGCTACACCTACCCGAGGAGAAGAGGAAAGAGGTCTTGGAAAGGGTACCTAGGGACTCGACCAGCTTTGAGAAAGTCGCCGAGGTGGTCTTCACGGGAGGAGGGGTAGACGTTCGAGAATACATGAAAAAGAGCCTAGACCTGGCCCTCCAAAGCGTACGCACTCAGAGAAATGATGGTCCACGAGAAGGCGATAGGCCACCACTAGGGCAGTCCGGCCCGCGCTGGGGAGGAGGACCGACAAGCTGGAGGAACGAGTCCGGGGAAGGAAACCAAGGGAACTGGAGCAATGACCATGAAGTTGGGGGGAATCGCGGTTCCGAGTGGAGGGGTTCCCATTGGAAAGACGCTAGAGATGGGCGGTGGGAAGATCCTCCTCAGCCCAAAGCCACGGGGCCTAGGCCGGAGGGGAATCAAGCAAGAGTTCCGCCTCCGCCCAGTTCCTCCACGGGCATGGGAACTACGTCTCAAGGGGGGCCTCGACCTAACAATCCCCAGCCGCAGAGTGGGTGTGTCTATTGCAATGAGGAAAGACACATCAAACGAGAGTGTCCATATCTCACCGAAGCCCTGAGGTTGGGAGTGGTGAAGTTAAATGAGAACAAGTGGGTGGTGAGGGGAGATGATGGAGAGGCCGTCTCCTTCTACCCCTCGATGAAGATAAACGTGGACGAAAGAATCACCCTGCAAGAGGCGAGGCTAGGAAAGAAAACCGAGGTCGGCGGGACTGCCAGCTCATCCCGCGTTCAAGTGACGGAGTCGCCGGGTGGTGTAGCCATAAGGGAACCACAAGTCTTTAGCATCAAGCTCGTAGAGACCAAGCCCAAAGAAGAGGGACCATGTCTAAGAGTAAGGACTCAAGTAGGAGCAGGATCGTCTAAAAGCAAGGACGTTCCGGCGGTGGAGGGAGGAAAAGTGCGGACGACGAGCAACCGATGGTCGATGCGAAAGCCATGCAGGAAAGGAAAGGAGAAGAACCTACGTCACCAAAATCTCCGAGGAAAAGAGGTCCAAAGAAGTTCGAGATGAAGTGCACCCTGGACGAAATAGACACGGTTGCGCCCCTGCGGAAGACTCTAATGCAGCCAATGCAGTGTACCCTCGTGGAGTATTTGGCAGCAAGCAAAAACGCCAGGGAAGAACTCTTGAGCATCACTAAGAAAGTAAGGATCCCGCTTGCCAGAGGGCCAACCATCCTTGGGGAAGCACCCACTAAGGAGGAAGTCCAATCCTCTCGAATTGCCATGGAGGAGATGCCGACGAATTTCTTTTCGGAAGAAGGGGGGAAGAAGTTCTATGTGTTAGGGAGTGGCCAACTCCAAGCAGTGGTGAGTGGGAAGAAAATGAGAGCCTTAGTGGATAATGGTTCTGAATCGACAGTGTGTCGGGATTCCATTGCTAGGGAGTTGGGTCTGGAAGTGGATAGGGGAGTCGCCATGTCGATGGTGGTAGCGGATAACAAGCTTCAACCGGCCCCATGATTGAGGTCGCGGGGGTAGAGACTACCGTCCCGATTTTCTTGGTAAAAGAGTGTTCGTTAGAGTTGATCATCGGCCGGACATGGCTAAGCGCGGTCCACGCTACTACGGTCGATCTTCCGAACGGAAACCAGACCCTCTCGATCCAAAGTCCGGACGGAATCTGGGTGGTCCTGAGGACGGTGGATGCTCGGGATGAGCGGAACCGCACCAGTGTTCCAAGAAGGAAATAAATCCAATTAAGGGTATACCAGGTCCGCCTAGAAGAGTCACCCTTTTCGGAGAAGGGATCTCCGGACAGTCCAATAGAGGTCGAAGAGGTCGGAGACCGGATAATCATCAATGGGGTTGAACACGAGACGGAGGATGAAGAAGAAGAACTCGGTGGGTGCGTGAGACTGTCTTTTTTGGGGGAATCCCTCTAAGCCGACGGAGGTAGGAAGCATAAAATTGTGGCGGTTAAAGGAAAGCCCGTCGTGGTTAGCCGGGTCAAGACGGGGGAAACCACGATATCGGAAGAAGAAATAGTGGAGATCATTCGAAAACAGAAGGCAACGGAGGGGCAACGGATTACGGCGGATAGGTTGGCAAAAATTGACATCGGGGACGTTAATCTCACCCCCGAAGAAAAGGAATATATAGCCACAATCCTGAGGGGTTGTGACAAGGCGATAGCCTTTGATGATTCGGAGAGGGGAAGGATAGACCCGCGGTATGCCAAACCTGCCAGAATTCACATTGTCCCCCACGTTCCTTGGAAAGACAGACCCCCATGGAAATACGCCAAAAAGGAAAAGGAGGAGATCGTGGCCTTAATAAAGGAGAAGATCCGGACTTTCGAGGCAGAACCTTGCGATAGCGCCTACACCAACAAATAGTTTTTCATTAGAAAAAGGGGTAGACCCCCATAGAAATACGCCCAAAAGGAAAAGGAGGAGATCGTGGCCTTTATAAAAGAGAAGATTCGGACTTTCGTGGTAAAACCTTGCGATAGCGCCTACCTGAAGCATCTCTTGGCCGAAGGGTCGGCATGTCGATCCATCTACTCGATCTGCGACCTCTTCTCGGGATATGACGAGATCCTTTGAGAATATAGGGATCGGCATAGGACCGCGATGCACACGCCCCTAGGGTTGGTGCAAATGATGGTGGTACCTATGGGGTGGAGCAACGACGTGGCCGTATTCCAAAGGGTCATGATAGCTGTCCTCAAGGAGTTAATTCCGGACAAGGTAGAAGTCTTTCTGGATGACTTCCCTATCAAAGGGCCGGTTGAAAGAGATGAGACGGAAGTCCTTTCGGGGGTTAGAAAATTCGTGGTGGATCACATGACGGATGTGAGGAGCATGTTCTTAAAATTGGACGATGCAAACCTCACCGTGAGTAAAACAAAAAGTCGTTGGGCTGTATGACACGGCCGTCGCCATTAAAATCAAAAACGGATGTGTGGTAGTTTCTAGGGGTGGTGGGCTATTGGAGGATTTTTATAAAAGCTTACAGCGAGAAGGCGGAACCACTTAGACGGTTGCTTAGGAAAGTTGAGGGTTGATCTGGGGAGAAGATCAAGCCGCGGCCATGAAAACTCTCAAGGAGGAATTCCGCGAAGGAGGGCAAGTCATAGGCGTTCCGTACTTCGAGGACGAGGTGGACCGCCCGTTCGTAGTTTCTACGAACGCAGGGCCATGTTCCGTAGGAGGGCTCCTTTCGCAAAAGGATCGAAATGGGAAAGAAAGACCCCTGGGATTTGAGAGTATGGCCTTGAACACCGCTGAGAGAAACTATAGTCAATTCAAGAAAGAAGTGTTAGGGGCAGGGTTGTCGAACCCCGGCCCCGGGACCCCGCCGGGGTTCCGGGGTTCCGGGGGTCGGCACCCGGGACCCCGGCCCCCTGTAGGGGAAAAAAACAAAAAAAACAAAAATTCGAAAAAAAA